TTAAAGCATTGATACTCTTGTATTGAATTGGTTTATTGAATATTATAAGATTATACAATATTTGTGCAGAAAAGTTGAGGACTGAAGAAATTAAATGTTCACTTTGTCATCATATCTCTAAAGGTGATATTTAATATGTAAAAACATACATTTATTTAACTTTGTTTAATATTACAGAAATGATAGATGATAAATGTTCTTCATGCAAAAGTGTGAGTGACAGATATTGTCTCATTAGTTTATCAGATGTGATCAATGATGATCTTAATAACATGATTAGATTGAAAGTACTTGGATTAAGCATTAAATTTGGACACCAAAAAAGTGTTGGTCTGTATTTGGTCTTGCCATAAGGACCAAACAATGATATTGAAGGATGGCACAGAAGAATACATGAAAAGACTCCTGTAAAATTGTCATTTTATATGCTCATAGATATTTTAAAACAGGAATCAAGTCTTATTCCAGTTGTACAGAAACTTCTATTAGAAAAAAAGCTGAAGAAGTATCAGAACCAAAGTGTGATCCAGATGCAGAACCAAGTATTTGCTGTTTGGGATGAATAAAAATTGGGCATGATTGCATCTGCTGTCCTCTTGAAGAAGATTTCATCAATCCATTCAAAAAAATTCTTAGTGTCTTATCATACTTTGTATTCTAGTAAATTTAAATTTTGTATAACTTTCCTAGCTTTTTATGTTTTTTATACATTTTTATAAACATATAATAATTATTAATCATTATATTCTCACTACATTACCATTAGTTCGAAAACAGAGAAATTTTTTTCCCATACAAATGACAGTTCCCACTCCTTATAACGTTTTTTCCCAACCCTGGGACATTTTTTCCCAACCTTAAGACATTTTTTCCCAGGGACGTTTTTCCCATACTCAAATTAATGCCTTTTCAACCAGCTTTGGACAAAATCTTCAGGATGAAATCTACATATTTAGACAAAAATCTCTTGTAACCCCTTTTAAAAAAAATATTTTTCAATGTTGAAAATTTCTAAACAGATGTCTAATCTTGTTTTTGTCATCTCTATTCACATTACGTAACCACAAGTATAGATATTGCATTGCCTTTGAAGATTTTTTAAATGCTTCACAAATATTAAATATATCATTTCCCAGTTCATTATTTTTGCTGAAATCCAATTCTTCAATATTTGAGCAGTTCTTTAAGTAATTTACCAGACTTCTATATTAGAACAATTTCTAAAGAAATTTCTGAAATTTTTACTTTGTTCTTCATTCAAAGAATACAAGTTTAAGTAAAGCTTTTTCAGTGTATTTGAAGATTTTTCAAGTGCTTCACAAAAATTAAAGCGTCCACTACCAATTTCAATATTGAAACTTATGTCTATATGTTCCATATTAGAACAATTTCTTAAGCAATTTCCCAGATTTTTAATTTGTTCTTCATTCAATTTACATGATTGTAAGTAAATGCTTTATACTTGTTGATGACAAGAGAAGAGAAGTACAAATATCTAACATTCCGTTACCCATTTCAGTATTATAACTTAAGTCAATCAATTCTAAATGTTTACAATGGTATAAAGCTTCTGTTAAATAATTACATTGACTTTCAGTTAGGCAACAATTGGCAAATGAAATACTAATTAATTTATTACCTAAATGACAGAATCCATGACAAATATACTGAAAACAATAAAAACATGTGAATATTTAAAACTTTTCTTTATCTTTAAATGTTACTTTTGTTTTTGTGAACATTGAAATTTGTGAACTATCAACCTTTAAAAGAGTATATAAACCCGACGAAATTAACAGTTGATAGTTCAGTTTTCTAACCATCAGCTAGTTGTTTAAACTAGCTTGTTTAGAACTAGAAGCTCATTTTACTCAATACATATTCTTTGGATGAAATACTGGTGTTTTGTTGATTAATTTCTACCAAAATTGCATTTGTTAGACTATTTGTGGACAAACTTT